GCTGGTTTTATCGCCCCCCCCCCCCCCCCCCCCAAGCTTTGAGATCCACGACCAAAATCCCTCAATCAGAACCAACTCAATGCGCATGCCAGTCAGCAAAGCTCATCAACGCACTTCTTCTTCCATCTCAGACGTCCAGTAATCTTCAAATATGCTTAATTCCGTCAAATCTGCGGTGCGGTTTTACTACGTAAAGACTGGGTTTGAAAACAAGTAAAGTACGCAGAGCTAAAGGAGCGGAAAACTAAACAATATCATACGTTATTTCAAGCAGAGCTGCGACTCAACCACGCTCTCCAGATTCAGCCACTAAGCGCAGCGTTGTCTTTGTCGACACTGAGGTTCTGAGCTGCGCTCTCACGCTGCATTCTAGCACACTCAGGGGAAAAAACTCACAACCAAATCCTTAGATAGAATCTTTAGATAATAAAGCTATCACCCATAACTGGCTATTCTGAGAGATGCTACTACTGTAATTTGTAGGCTGCTCTCAGAGAGGCGAGCACTTTCGAGGAGGAGAGTGAGGGACGAGAGGATCAAAACAATTTCGGATTAAGATCCTTCTCATGATTTCAATCACTTTTTTTCATCCTGCCTTAGTAATTAGTGTCTTGACTGTGAGCTGCACTTTTTCTCTTCATAATATCCGAGGCAAACAATGTACATTGTGTACTGTGGGACAAAAGGTAAACGTACAGAATAGATACTGCACATCCTGCTGATGTCTCTTTCATGTTCTTAGAAATAATGGAAACCATTCATCACAAAAAAAGAATGGCTCTAAACCAAAGCAGCAGGTTGAATACGTCTAGACTCTCTTCCCTCAAAAAGAAAGATATGGGAGGAACCATCCATTTTCCTCAGCTGCCAGTGAGGGTTATATAGTGCCATGGAGGTATATGGGCTCACCGTGAATCAGTGAAAGACATGCCAGGCCCCCAAAGCAGAGCACCTTTTGGCAATAAACATTTGGGAGGGACAGGACAGTCGTAGGTAAATAGCGAAAAAGCAAATATAGAGCACTTACCAATAGATGCCTCAAACGCAACTGCAGTTCCACTTTACCACAATGACTCATTTATGTACCGGGACAACGGCTTGAGGCATTCACAATACAAAAGGTGAATGTATAATTAGTTTGCATAAGGACAAGCTAAAAGCAACAGCACTGCGTCAGTGTGTACGTATAGCCAGAATAATAGATTTGGATGAAGACAGAGGTGATGCTTATGATCATAGCAAAGAGAGACACCACAGTCATCGGGAGGATACAGATCCCATAGTGTCATTTTATCAGAAACACTGACGGGCTGGTTTTTAGATCCACTAAAGAAACCGGGAGCTTTAAGTCCGTATGTCTGCAACGGTATCTGTCCAACAACAGAACAAGCTGAGGCGGTGGACACACAGGAAGGGAGCCAGCTCGACAGTTTACATTATGCTGACTGTAATTGGACAGTGAAGTATGGGGGAGGGTATAATCGTATCTTTTATGGCATGCCAGAGCAAATTAAGCCCTGGTCTCCTGCATAGGACAGAGGCTATATGTTAATGTAAGTGGGTTACTTAACGCCATTGGGAGGCACAGGGGTAGGATTAGGAGCCTCATAGATAATGTGAACCAAACGTCCCGTCCCCCCCAGGTCTCAACCTCTCACAGAGATACAGCGGTGGAGACATGTGCTAATTGGTCTTCGGAAGTTCTCTTGTTTTCTATCTTTCGAATTAGCAAAGAGCAAGCCCAAGCACTTTGGAGCCTAAGAATAACTATGCACAAGAAGAAGAAGATTATAAAAGAAAGAAAACATGTTAAATGATTCTACAGAGTATAGGACTTCCAACTTGTGGTCAATGTGAAGATTCAAGCCTTGCTTCTTCCATTTTGGTGATGCTCACTTTGATTGATAATAACCCCTTGCATCTAAAAAAAAAAAAAAGAAGACTTTTTGGAAATGCGAGGGGTTAACCTGTAAACATACATTCCAATTCTAATTTAGTCTGCATAATGCCTTGGGCAGGTTCTGCTGTAGCAGACACAAGTAACCCAAACATTTACTTCAAAGCAAACCAAAAACACATATTCAGTGTTACCTTACACTAAAAAAAAAAAAAAAAAACCTGCAATGATCCAGGTATTTAATATTCAACATTTAATGTTGATCAAATAAATTGATTATTAATGTCTACAACACTTTCAGTCCACGTGGTTGACTTGCACCAGCACAAACTACCATCATTAGATTTTGCACAACATGTGACCATAATGTCATTATGTGTGGATTTTATGATCATATAAGTGATAATTGTGGTCTCATACTGCTTCATGAGCAAACACAGAAGCACAGCCTATAATCATAACTCATATTCAAGGTGGACTACACCCAAATTCACTTATCTGGGCTGACGGGGAAATCCACTGGAATATTTGCACTTTCGAATTATGTGAAGACGTGAGTCAAACTTGTTCTGTTCAAATACTGGACGATGTGACAACAAACTGTTTATAACGACCAAACACGGAGGCGCGGGTCACCTCCGTGAACACCGTAAAACATAAACATGAGAAATAAAGTCAACAAACTGGAATTCTCCTAATTTTGTCAAAGCAACACCACGTCATCGCCAAGTTTGCTTCCCAAAGAGGAATGTTATAAAACAACGCTTAGTTTACACAAATGTGAAAAAGAAAACAGCAGGCTATACGGTACACGTCTTAGTACAACACGAGCACACGCGCACAAACTGTTAACCAGCTAAGGCGCGCGCACACTTGTTCCGAATCCAACCTGTAAGTGGTTGATAGATTGCTGACCAGTGTAGAGGCTCATTAACGTAAAAACCACACTTCCTGCAACAATTAAACTTGTCCGCGCGGAAAACTATCAATGTGTAAATTGACTTTTCTAAACAAACGGAGGCAGAGGTTGGAGTTAGCGTTACTTACCGATGTGTTCAGCGGCGGTTTATCCACGTGCGGCTCTCCTCAATTTCCTTCGGTTAATTTCTCCAGCTGCTGTCACACTTCAGCCACTTTCAGCAGCCTCTTCCGCGTCGTAGGGTGTCTTGTCAGACTAAACGGCAGCCTTTCGTGCTCAACATCGCGTGGACTTCACTTCTGCGACAGTTGTTGTTGGTTTGTAAGCGGAGAGAAGAGAGTTTGTTTCCCCTGCTGCGCCGTTTCTGCGGAGAGACCGTCTGACTGCGGCTGTGTGTGTGTGTGTGTGTGTGGATGGGAAACCAGTAGCAGGTTCCCACACACACACACACACACACACACTCCCTCCCCGCCAATCACGTACAGTGTCACACCACCACGTAGCCTGCGGCTCACATCTGCATGTTTTGGGAGTCTTTTCAAAGATGAAAATACTTCTGTGTATGTTTGTGAGCTAGTCCTAAAACATTTTTAGAATAATTTTCCATCTGTGGCGTTGCTGGTTAGTGGTTTTAGACTCATGACTCAACCTAAGAGACTCCTTCCCAGAGGATAAAAACAATCTGATTATTTTCCTCATGAAAGACAGCAGAAGACGTTAAGGACACCGTACTATCACATAAGCTACATTCCAACTGCAAGTCTCAATAATAGGCACGTCATAAGAATATGAGTTGAAAGATATACTGATAAGTTATTTTGTTTATGGTTTTTATTACCAAGTCTCTGTGACTCACACAATAACTCAATAAACATGTCCGGTAGCTGTAGGGCATTCCCAAAGGTCAGCATTAAATAAAAGCTGTTTACCTTTTTTGAATTACTTGTTGAGACTGAGGACTCATAACAAAGACACTTTGAGTCCTTATAGGGAAATACTGTGATAGGAATATAAAGGTAATATCTTTTACTTTTTATCACCCTGTCACTGAGAGTTAACCCATAAACATGTCTGATTATAGTAGGCTCCCCACATTATGAGCGGGAATTAGCAGAGTCCTGGGGCATTCCCCAACGCCACCACTAAAAGAAGCAGCTTAACTTCTTTGAGTTGCTTGTTTAGACAAGCCTACACTAGCTGAACATTTTCCAATAGCTCACTGCTGGATGTGTGGGAGGAGTCGGTGTTCAAAACTGTCCTAAACTTCCAGCAGCAGTTTTACGACCATTTTTTGTTTCTACAGCCATGCCAACAGAAATTTGTTCCCTGGGAATTCACAGACACAGACACACACACACACGCACACACACAGAGGCAGTGGAACTGCATGTGTTTGTCTAATGTTTTGCTTGGCTGGGTTCAAGTCATCCAAATCTCCCTTCTCTAATTCCTCTCAAGAGTTGACTGCTTTCATAAGCTCCGTCTTCATTTTGAACACACTTGGACGATGCTGCCTCATCTGAGATAGTTGAAGTTTGATGATGTCCTTCTGTTTCTTTGCCTCTGGGTCTCTGCAGCTGATCATTAACATGTTGCAGAGGGAAAAGATGAGCATTTAAGCCACCATTTGCCGTTACGGTGAGCAGAGGACCGGTTCTACCGTAGCAGATGTCTGTGAGTCTCTTGAGAAAGCTGCGATATTAAATGCATGATGAAGGATACACAAAATCCACTTCTGGCTTACAAACAGCAGTTCAAAATCAAATATGAATGTTTCTGATTTCCTTCAATACGCTTTGCAGGCGGTTGTTTGGCTTTGCATCTCTGTGGTATGGTAATCTGTGCAACACCGAAGTCCTTGTGAGGTGTCATTTTAAGAACTTATGACCAGCTGTATTAATTCACTGCAGATGTCCTTCTGTTTTTCACTTATCAATAAAATCTATTTACCGGCTATAAAGCTCCCACACAAATTATTCCCTAATCCATGCAGCTAAAAAAACAAAATCATCCCAACAATCAAACATGAAAGTTCTTTATTCCTCCAGCCCCTGACGTTTCCTCTGGATCATATTACCGTTTGTCTGGCTTTGTGATTCCACACTACAGAAAGCTGCTCAACCATCTGGTACAGCATGTGGAAATAGTTCAATTTCAAGAATTTAGAATTGAAAAATCTTTGCCGAGTCTACTGAGACTATACCTTCAGGTATAGTCTTTGATTTACACACAGGCTCTTCTGTTGAGTGTAAAGTTGGATTTGGAGTGTTTTTGCTGTTATGGCTTCAGGGCCACTGGGACAGCAACAAGAAGGTATTGGATACTGGACTGACACTGACACTGTAGAACTGTACCTCTGCGCTCCCCCACAAGAGCAAACACTTTCACTGAAATGAGTCACTTTTTCCAGATTGAGGGGAAAAGAGGAAGTGGCCAAGGGGGAAAAAATAATGCATACGCACACACGCATGAAACCACACAGACACACACACAAAAGCACAGAGGGTTAAAAGGGCATTAGCTGTTTCCTGCCGGTGAGTTTGGGAATTCAGGCAGCTGCGTCTGTCTAGGGAAAGACATGGCCGGTGATTGCTCTGATGAAAGAGGCAACACACGGAAACAAGACAAGGTTTCGACCTATACGGCACTACCAGTCTCCAAAACAGCCTGAAGAATGAATGCCCAACAACTATGGTGAAAGCGTGACGTCGATGTTCATTGCTCAATTCAAAGCTGAGGTTATGCTTTTGGATGTGCGACACACCACAGAGGCCGAAACATCCGTCAGGTTTTGCTCGTGCGGCTGAGATTCCCGCGATGAGTTATTGGACTGGAATCTGGCGGCGGGAAAGTAACCAGTCGCAACTAATTCTGGTGAATTTGCTTGAATATCCTGTACAGTACTCGTACCGTATCCTTTGTGCACTTTGTGAATTTATGGGGAGTTATTTGTTTAGCCATTTTCTGGAGCAGCTGTGCTTCCCTGACCTGAGTGCAGTTTATCCACTTAATAATAATGTTCCTAATATTCCCCTCAGATTTCACATCAAGTAGCATTAAAGAATTAGTTTCATGCTGCTTAATGTTCTGTACCTGCTTGTTGCAGTGCTTCATCCCTCATAAAGAGTAATAGTCAATCTGAGTGACATTTGTTAGGCTCCGCTGCACTCGTGCATAAAGAATTGAAATGACTTGTGCATCATTTTATACACATGGCATGCTTAGTGAAATATTTATGTCCAAGATGACTCTTTTAACAGCTGCCCCCTTCACATGAAATGGAAAATCGATGTCTTCTGCATCACTTTATACATCTTTCCTTGTAATTATGTATGAAGTATTTGGCGTCATTCAATACTTTGGAATCTTGTTTTGAATTTAAAAAGAGTTTGTGTGGTCTCTGGTAAAGATCCGTCCGCGTGACAAGCTTGAAATTATGGACATGCCAAAGAATCCACGGGGTTGAGATGTTAATGGCGTTCCTACTCCTTGAGTTCAATCAGTACTTTTTCCCTCAGAAGCTCTCCCACGTGGAGGCAGAAGCTGCTGTCAGAGCTCTACCTGGCAGTACGTCTCCCTTGGCTTCATCTCTTTCCCCCCACACAACTCACTGCATACCCTCCATCCTCCCAAACTCCTGGAAAACATAATCATCCCTCCAGCCGGTGGACGTCAGACAAGGAACGGTGCAGACTGGCCGGATTAGGGAGAACGAGGTGCCTCAGGCACCGTGGTGAGCAGGGTAAACATGGAGATCTGACGTTAGAGGAATGGAACGGCACTCCGACCACCGGCTGCCTCTCATCTCCCCACACGGCCACATGGCTGCTATACACACCCTCACTGCACTCTCTTATTAGTCTGTTTTTTTTTTCCTTTCTCCATCTCGCTGCTGCACTAAAATCAAACACTGAATTCATATGGTTTGTTGTTTGCACTTCACAGTGTGTGGCATGAAACACACACATCAGACACTGGTTACAAAGCTGCATGAGAGCTCACTCGAGAGGAAAACATGCGTCATTGCGGTCGAGCTGACATGCAAACATTACTTCGAAAAGTGTGCACAGTGTATGAGGCGTGCTTTCATTTTGAGATTTCATGCGTGTGTTACATGCAGAGGATACCAAGGAGTACATGTTTGACCCATCAGTGGCAGAGCTGTTCGCTGGTTCTCGGTAATTTCGTGGAACCCGCCGCGTTCGGTGGAAGGTGGACTGTGTGTTTATTTTGAGGCGGCGGCGGCGTCTGAAACCTTGTGTTTACGTTTCACATGTCAAGTGAGGAAATAAGTGTGTGTGCTCTTTGCTGCTCTACTCGTGCTCGTTTCACGTTATCGAACCAGGTCAAGTGTAACAATCCTCTTTGCTAATCTTTAAGTGTGAAAAAAGAAACATATTTAGGCCTCCAATCTGGTATTGATTTTACCTGCTTGTGCCTGATGGAATATCTGTCACCTGTGGCCCCTAAACCAATCACATTAGATACACAAGAACTAAATCTTTGTCATGAAGCCGACCTCTGCGTTGCTTTTAAGACATCAACGAGCGGCTTTTCAAGGTTATTTCACACTTTCTAAGGCGTATCTGTGTTCCTTTTACAATGAGTCATTCCAGCACAATTGTTGTCAAAACGCCTCATCCGATTGGTCCAGAAGATCTTTCAGATTATAGAAATGATCATGTATGACCTCTCGGGCACTGCTGGAACAGAAAGACCTGGGACAGCTGTAAAATGATGCCTACAAATAACTGCTCACAATGTCATTTGTGACGGTTTTGCTTCTTTTTTTTTTAAGCGTGAATTTTTGGAGCAGTCATTGGAATAATCCTTTGCCAAAGACAGCCACTTTAATTAGATTTCATCATCGGAATGCCCAGCCAGCCACAAGTAATGACTTTCATGCTCAGATCTATCATAGCTGCTTTGTCGCTTTATAAAACATAGAAAGAGAAATCTGCTTTCAATCCCTGTTCTTAATTCTGCATCAATAATATGAGGGCGGTTGTTCAATCAACCTCACATTTCATTTTAATATCAAAAAATCAATATCTAATTAGATTCAGACTGTAGGTTTATGAGGGGAAAGGGGAGGTCTTGCTCATCTTGTAATAATTTGCATTCAACAGAACTGGTTGGACAAGACGTTTTAAGCAGTGTAGATGCTGTTAACATCACATCAAAACTGTTGATTGTAAATGCTAATTTTCTACATCGGGGAAGTACAAAAGAAAATACAATGTGGGGTGCAAGACACCGTGACTAATTGTAGCTGTGAGACGTGTTTCTGTCAGTCTTCTCTCTTTTTCCTCACCTGCTATCACGCACCGTGCCAACAGAAACATTTCATCTCCCTTTGCCCACAGGCAGCACCTTAACATAGAAGTGAAAACAGGATTTTCAGAAGGAGAAGCTCATCGTGAATCAAGGCT